TTGTATACTTTTTCCACGATATGTATAATAGTACAATAATAAAAAGTATTTATGTATTTATTTATTTCTTTGCTGCGAATTTGAAAATTCATATGATTTGTAAAGATTTAACCGTGAATACCTAAACCAATATCGAAAACTCGTTGACAATTTATAAATTAATATACTTTTTTTTGTAGAAAGTTAAATTCCTAAATCAATAATACACATATAGTTTACTCGAGTAAATAATTACTTTCCAAATTGGAATTCACTAAGTTGGTTCGTTTAAAACGTATATTTTATAAGGAGCTAAATACATAAAAAATAATTAATTTAAATTTAACTTTTTACTAAATGTTTTATTAAGCTCTAAGGTGTGATTTGGATTATTTTAAATGTGATTTGTAGATTAATTTATAGAATTTAAAAATATATAATATATTTTTTTAAATGTTTCCTATTCAAATATATAATTAAAAATAAATTTCAATGCATTTGAATAACAAAAATTAAATGTAATATAGTAATAAAAATAACATGAAGTACATGTACAATAAATTATTATATAATTACCTTTCAAACATAATATATAAATTTAATATTACGCTGAACATAATATTGTAATAAGAAATATAATATAATATGTATATACGTAAATATGTTATAAAATATAAATATCATCAATGAATTTGTATTAAAAAAATATAAACGATGGTTTATTATTTATTATCAGCTATATTTAAATACCACTAATTATGTTAGTTTAATCAAATTCCACAATAGATAATATTATACTATAGTGTAGTTATATAATATTTAGCTCAATTTTATTTTTCGATTATATTTAATTGTATGTACATTTTGTTAATCTTATTATACACTGAAAACATTAAAATAAATTCTCTTAATTTAAACAAAGTTTGGAAATGAATTCCTTGTTATCAAAATCAACAAAATCTATAGTTATAAGCCATAAGGTATAAACTATAAACGATATGGCCAGTTTATTATTACAATAAACATTAATGATAATAGTAATTATTATAATTTTCTTCTGTTTAAAATGTCATTGCACAATACATAATGTACAATGATTATTTAAATTATATCAATATAATATACGTAAGTGCCCTTTTTTTATTATACAAACTAAAATCAGTAAACGATGGTAGGTCAAAACAATAACAAATAAATCATTAAACTAGACCATTTATAGCTAATAGCCCAATGGCACTTTCTCTAATTTAAACAATTTACTTTATCTAGAACATAATGCATTATATGCAGCCAGCACTGCAACAGTAATTGTTTGAGAATTGCATTTTAATAAGTATGCATTATGCTTAATAGCATATTATTATGTAATAAGCCGCAGTCGATAAATTTTAATATACCTTTTTAATAAAAGCTTATCATAATTTATTCTTCATCAATGTATCGTAAACATGAACAATAAATAACACTGCAGTTATTATCAATTGTTTTAATATTTCAACCTACTAACAAGTAACAACATTGTTTCTTCTTATGGTGTAATAATAGATGTATGTAGTAATAGTATTAAATTTGTTCTCAAAAATTTTCTTCTATTCATTAGATTGAGCATCTACCGAGTGCCGACGAGTTATATAAAATAATTTCAATCATCGAACAATTCTACAACAGAGTGAATTTGTATTTTGATTATAATTTTTGATACAAAAAAAATTTTTTTCATATAAAAGCTGATTATAATATTACAGAAAATGATTATAATACAGTACGATATTTTAAATACTCGTATATGTGTCCGTATTAGGTATACTGAACACTGAGCAGGTTAACGAAGTGGTTTATTATTTTGTTTTTCAACGTAAATTCGATTGAATGCTTCTTATCATTCGCAGTCTTAGAAATGGTAGTGTTCGGCGCGCGGTGGGAGAAGGATAAAGGAAAAGAGAGAAAGAGCCCTTGGCCCCGTTTTAGGAACGCGTGCGCTTGACACTCGAAATTCTTTCTGCCACTGCCACTGTGCGCTCTACTTATCGCCGGCAATAAGTTTTTGCTGTATTTGATTTACAAACGACGCGTACATCGGAAAATAAACGTAGTTTATTTTATTTTATCCCATTAATTAACAGAGTGAAAAAACAAATAAGTTACTAATATTCGTGGTCATTGCTGCAGCAGGGTTAAACGTTGACACCCACGAAAATTACAACACAACTAATATTATAATGATTGCTAAATTATAATAATTAATTCTACAGTGAGATACAAAGGATTTATTTACAAAACAAAAATTTTAGACCCATAGTTTATATGATTATATGCATTTTATTTTGTTCGTGGTTTCTTATTTTTATTTTCTATTAAATATTTAAGCTATGAAAACTTGTAAATCGCAAACAAAATCTTCTGATGACTTGCTCGTGTGTTTATATTAGATATAACATTTTATCCACTTATCAATATGCCTATAAAAGTAAATTATGAGAATAATGTAATGTCATCTCGGTAACTAAATTGTTACTGTAAAAATCGATTTATTTTTTCTCCATCTTTAACCTTATTTATTCTTTTTTTATACACTAACTTTTGTAATATTTATTTATATTTTATTTATACTTTAACATTATACTGTTTAATATAACTGGTTTTAAAACTCATAACAATACTTTATAAGTTTATTATTTATGAGAACTTTATTTTACATCAAAGTTTGTTCCATTAATATTAATCTAAATCAAATAATGAGTAAAACTTGAATTTAATTTTATGTAAATATCTTGCTTGACATCTCGTACAAAGTTAATTTTGCGAACAACTATTAAAATATTTGCACATTTTTTTATATGTTTGCTAATTATGTTAATATTTATCGTTGATAAGCTTACGTTTATTTTTGAACAATTACGTATTCTACAATTGTTATTAAATATGCAAAATTCGAAAAATCGTTTCATTTATAACATTCTTATAAAATACGAATTTAAAAATTTGTGATCTTGTTTGTTCACAGATCTGCTTAAAAATATACGCGTGTTGTACGCGACAAGTATGGTAGAACTAATATTTTACATCGTAGAACCGTAAAGCGGATGTGTAACGGCCCTATGTTGACGTCACTGTACATAGTAGATAGGTATACCGTGCTTCATAGTATTGTAATGTGTGTGTGGTGTATTTAATATCAAATCCAACCGATTGCTACTAATAAGAATAAATTTAATAACAACGAGAATAATATACGATATCACCGTACGACGTCAACCGTCTTGCGGGGTATTACGCGTGCACAATAAATTTATGTATATGCTATTATTAATATTATTTAACATATTATTGTGATCGTTAATCGTTTCCGATCCGCGCGTACCGCCCACGCACCGTCCTAATATTAATTCGTTCGGTTAGTTTCTACCCGCGGCCCACCGTCCGAACTGGCGACTGACGGCGGTTCACCGTGTTAAAAACCATCACTGGTCACCGTCACCGTGTCATTTACCCGCCGCGGTTGCAGGTCTCGTGGTGTTTTACCACGTCCGTCGGATAATAACCGTAATGTGAACAGACACATTAGAATATACTGCATAGGCGTGTCTACGGGGGAGGCAGGGTGGGCACTGGCCTCCCCAGCGACGTTCTTGGCCTCTTGGATTATAATGGTGAAACCACGAATATAGATATAGATTATACTTATAATATGTATTGTATCTATATCCAATCCGTGGCTGAAACAGTAACAGTAATATTAGTAATTGATCGATAAGAAATGTTATCAATGTCAATAAAGTTTTCGTCCATATATAGGTTACGTAATAACTAATAATCATGGAACACGGTCTTAGAATAATAGTCTATATATAGACTTTCTTAGTCCATGGTAATAATTATTCTTTATTACCTATCTATGTTTTCGTCACGACCACGATTGTAACTCATAGATAAAATTTACAACCATGGACCGTGGTTTTTGTGAAGAATGCCGGTTTGTTTTGTAAACGGTTGTCGGTTTGTACTTTGTTTTGTTAATAAGCCTGCTGTAGCAGCAGCTGCGTATATAATTGTGCCAAATTTTTGATAACAGCATCGCAGCGTAATTTTTAATTTTCATTTGAATTTAAATAAGTTTATTGTTTAATACAAATATAGTATATTATATAATATAAATATTATTAAATAATAAATATCAATAATCAGAATGGCAGCCAAAAATAAAAGATTGAAAACTTTGCATGACTTTTTTATGCCAAAAAGAACAAAAAAAAATTCTGGTAAGTTTATATTAGTACTTTAATATAATATAATCCACTATCCATAGACTAAACATATTATTTAAGTTGTTTTATTTAACTTATGAATTAACAATATTCATTTTATTAATTTAGGTGACAATGATCCAGATGATCCAGTACCATTAGCACAGTGTAGTCATACAGTTGAAGAATTTGAAAAAGTTACTGAGTCAAATATTGTACATGAGGTGTTAGGTATTTATATAAAATTGTTTTAATAATGTATTAATGTTTGTTTATGTTGGCTGATTGTGTTCAATTCTAGACTGTGTTTATAGATGCAATGTATCTAGTTAAACATTTAATTTATAACATGTGTATATCTTAATGATAGGTAGAAATAATATATAATAATATTAATTTGTTATTTTGTCTATGTTCTTTGTTGGGTTTACTATTTGTGTTCAGTGTTTGGTGGCATACTGATCCAGGGCTACTAAGTGTAAAAGCATACATATGGTACTATAATGTTGGGTCAATGTTTTGTATTGGTTGTTGATATTTGTTGTTAACTTGTTTTTATGTATATTAGGTAAATAAATATTGTAATTTTTTACTTTTGTAGTAACCATTAACCAATAAACTTTATTGCTAATTAGTTACATTAGTTATACCTAACTGATAATATTTGTGTTGATCAATGTTGTGTGTTTATGTTTGTTAATACTTCATATTATTTAAATGTTGTTATTTTTGTAATAAATTTATTAAGAAAACAAGTTTTAAAATTTTAAAAACTAAATGATCAAATCGAGTAAGTATAATGTACTAAATTTAAATAGTTTATCTTATGCATGAATTCTAAAAATTTTAGATCCTGATGATCCTGCTAATTTATTGCCGGTATTCCAGTTAGAACGTAAAGATAGGGTTGTTAGAGGCCCATTTCAACCCAAACTTAAATTGTATCCACGAACAAAGTTTGGAGATAGATTTCGGTGCTTTAATAAATCTTGGTATGAATTATTCAATTGGCTTGAGTACAGTGTGAAATTAGACAGAGCTTTTTGTTTTCCCTGTCGGATGTTCACAAATTCTTCAGGAATAAATGCTGGCTATACAGATTCTGCGTATTCAAAAGTCGGATTTAATAATTGGAAATTAGCTACAACTAAATTTAAAGCACACCAAACTTCAAACACTCATTTAAATAGTGTAACTTCATTAACAAACTTTTTGCACTTAAAACCAATAGATACAGTTTTAGATGAAGAGAGAGAACTTATACACAGTCAAAAAGAACAGCAAAGATTAAAAAATAGACAAATCATGCAACGCTTAATTGATATAACTCTGTGTATAGGTATTGGTGGACGTTCATTCCGAGGAAAAAATGAAAAGGAAAGTAGTTACAATAAAGGTCTGTTCAAAGATATTGTTACACTTTTGGCCAAATATGATCCTCTTCTTAAGTCTCACTTAGAATTAGGTCCAAAAAACGCTACTTATTGTAGTAATATAATTCAAAATGATCTAATTATATCAATAAGTCAAGTACTAAAAAATCAGTTAAAACATAAAATTGAAAATAAAAAAATATCAATTATTGCTGACGAGACAAGCGATTTAGGACACCACGAACAGCTATCAATAGTTTTAAGGTATTTTGATGATGAAAAAAAATGTCCAGTGGAGCAGTTTGTAGGTATGAAAAGAATAATGTCAACTGATTCGCAGACTATTTTTAATGCAATAAGTGATGTTATTAATGACTTTGGTATAAAATGGGAGTCTGTTTTATCAATGTGCTTTGATGGTGCAGCAACGATGTCGGGAAGTGTAAATGGAGTTCAAGCTAAATTCAAAAAGGAAAATGATAAAGCGTTCTTTGTACATTGCTATGGACATTGTCTCAATTTGATTTTAGTAGATTCAGTTGGGAGAGAAAATAGAATAACTTTTGATTTTTTTGGTAACATTCAGTTGATCTACTCATTTATTGAAGGTAGTTGCACTAGACATGGTATTTTGGAAACAATTGCAAATTCTTTAAACTTAAAACTTAAGACCTTAAAGTCTGTATCAACAACACGGTGGGCCTGCCGCGCAGAAGCAGTTAGTGCTATTAAAGAAAACTATACAGCATTGTTGGTTGCTATAAAAGAAATTTCGGATAGAACAAAGCAGGCTGATGTAAGAGCAAAAGCATTAGGAATATTAAATCAAATGAAAACCTTTGAATTTATATTTGCAATGCTTATGTTAAATCTTATTTTACCCTTAGTTTTAAAAGTAAGTGTGTATCTGCAATCTTCGAACATAAATTTATTAACTGCTGTTGAACTTGTTACATCACTGAAACAATCTTTAATATCATTAAGAAACAATGAAAAAGAATTCCAAGACATTTTTAAAAAAACTGTTCAAATGTGCAACGATAATGATATTTTGATACCCGATTTGAAAAGAAGAAGAGTTTCATCTAAAATTGATGAATCTCATAAAACTCAACATATAATGAAGAATAAAGAAGAAGAAATGAAAATATCAGTGTTTTTTCCAATGTTAGATAGAATGATAAGTGATATAGAAATTAGATTTAATCAAGAGACTATTAATATGATAAAGTGTGTTGCGCGTTTGATAAAACAAGAAGTTACTAATGATGATCTTATAAATTTGTCCAATATATTTGGAGTTGATTTTAACGATTTAGATGCTGAGATTCGATTACTTAAATCAAATTGCTCAATCAGTAAAGACAACATAAATACATGTGATGATTTAATAAAATGGTTGGCTGATTATGGAACTGGAAGAGATATTATATTTCAAAATATATTTATAATTTTAAAAGAATTTTTGACTATTCCGGTTACAAGCTGTTCCTGTGAAAGAACTTTCTCAAAGTTAAATTTTATTAAAACAAAACTTAGGAGTACAATGCAGCAAGACCGGTTGGATGCGTTGTTAACAATAAGTATTGAACAGGAGTCTGCCTACAATATAAATATTGATGATGTCATTGAACATTTTAAAATACTAAAACCAGTTAATAGGCGAATGGAATTGTAAATTTATTGGATTTTATTAGTTGTAATATTTTAATAAATTACTTGTTTAACCAAACTAATAAATAACTGTTTTATGTGGATTGTTTATTGTGTAATAACTGTAATAAGATGTATAGAGAAGGTTTATGTACCTACTACCTGTCCTATAGTTGATAAAATATTTATAAAAAAAAAAAACTAAGTAGGTAGCACATTAGTTATTAGGCCTTATTTATTAGTTCATAGTTGTAATAGCATATAAGAAACCAATTTTAAGATCAATAAAATCTTTAATTTGGCGGGGTGAAAAATTTCCAGGTGCTATATATAATAAATTAATACAACAAAAATAAGTCACAAATATAGATATATATATATATTATAGATCGCTGTAGTATGTTAAAAATTTAAATTTTATAACTGGCCTCCCCAGCCGTGGAGGTCTGGACACGCCTATGATATACTGTAAATACATACGTACATACATACTTACAAACATATATATATGTGTGTGTGTGTGTGTGTGTGTGTGTGTGTATAAATATATTATAGAGGTCTATGTACCTCCTCCCCCCCAACCGACCCGTTGTCGCCGCCGTGGCACGACCGGTTTACACTGCAACAGCGTTTCTGACTTTCTGTTGTGTACACCGCTGGCTGCTGCACATTTCCCTCTCGTTTTCGACCGTCGTCGTGTACACACACGTGGGGTTATAAGCCGCCGCCGACGTGTCACGCACGGACTGCCGACCGACCGAGATTTCGAGACCGTATACCCGTGCGGCTCGTGAGAAATCGGATGTCCAACACGAGGACGACGACAGATAAATACAATATTGTGTGCAGGTATGCTGTGATGCGCACGACGGGTCGTAAAAATAAATGCTCGCGTTGTTAAACACAACGATCAAAACTCTACACGAGTGCCATACCGCGACGTTTCGTTTCCGTGTGATCGCGCAGGTGACGTGACGTATTTTTTGTGTACCTATACGTCATGTATGCATATAATCATATTTATATTGTAAATATAACACCTCAAAAACCCGCGAACTGTAAGAAAACGGACGTGATCACTTCCTCCGCGCGTTAGAATACGTAGGTACCCAGTATCCACCCAGGTATCCGCCTGTAACGCATTCGTCATTTGGCGACCGCATTGGCCTTTACAAAACAGACACGCGCGTGTATTTACGTTATATCTGTGTGTACTGCATTTGCATATTATGCATATATACTTTTGTACGACGTGCGTGATATGGAGTGTTACGAAACTGCAGATTAGATCTCGGGATGTTTATGTTTAATCATGGGCCAAAAGTCAGCTTATAAAAGACTTCTTGAGTTGGCTAAAAACTCGTTAGAAGAAAACGCCTATACGCAGACGCGGTTTTTGAACGATTTTTAATTATTGTATTTCCTAGTCTCGTGTGTTCCCGGGACACGTACAAATTATTATCGCCGGTAAACAGTTTTCGGTCGACATAAAAAACCTAAACAACATAATACATGCTTATAATATGCAACAGATCACGAAATAATAACGCGATCAGAAAATAACTGTCACACCTGCGCACGACGAAAAGATAGGTTGTATATACGTACATATAATAGTACATCTGCCTACTTATATACGTATTGACTCATGAAGTGAGGTTGTTACCAAGTTTTGAATTTTAAACTCTGTAATATGTGTTATTTACAGAATTCAAACTGTGTAGAGTCAAGTTAATAAAATATGTAAAATGTAAATCCATATTCAGTATGAAAAAACACAATATAATTATGTAGGTGTGAATGTAATGTATTTTCTTGTTGCACATTCTCATTGCGAATAAAGAAACAGATCATAAAATTTGATAACCACATAGTAAAGCGTTTAGTTCGTATACTATTAGTATAGCCCCACATAAAAAAAGTCGTTAGTAGGTACCTACATACGATCCGGCCTTTTTAGTACCAATACGACTTCGTTAATCGATACTGTATAATATACTGTTATACATTTTCGGAGAGTGGCAGCGTGCTAATATGTAATAAATATTCATTGATAGTACGAATCAGAAAAATACATTAAATTCACTCAAAGCGATCATCATAATTATTACGTATTTTAATTAGAACCGCTACTTATATTATAGTTATTTATTTGTCGCGTATGAAGCTATTTTCTGTTAGTATAGTATTTATTAAATATTCTTACCAGTCAATAGTTATCAAAATGCATAACGCTATACATATAAAAACGATATTAATTTGTGTATTTTACTGTTTTCTATTAAACGGTTAAATTAAATGTATTTAATGTGCAGTTTTAGTAATTTTTATTGTTCAAATGTTTTCGCCGTTATCTATTTCCTATCCATTTCTCATCGTCAATTATGTATAGCTGTTCAGAGTTATTTTAAATTTCAAAAATGCATAACACACTATCATATCGTTTTGACGTTGTTGCATTTATAGTATACCTTCAATTAGTGACGCATATTATCATTATTGTTATTATTATTATTCAACTTGTCGTAGGTACAAAAATTAATTCACCGTCATAATCCTTCATCCAGAACGGCTGTGTGTAGTACCTTCAGACGCCGACGTTTCGTTGTTATGTAAATACGTAGGTATTATTCGTTTACAAGATTTCTGTATCATTTGATTTCAAAACATATAATTGAATGTAATTTTCACACGGAGGTATGCGCCGTGCGGTGTACAATCGAGAAGTGCGTAGCTTCTAGAATAAATTAGTATTGATAATGATAATTCAAAAAATCAAGCTGATTAATGGCAAGTTAATCGTCAAGATGCTATAAATAATAAAAGAAATAATACAGTATTATTTTTTCAAGAAAAAACTTCATTATCATACAAACACTATCAATTTAAAATTGTTGTAAGGAATTTTTTTAAGACATTTAAAAATAATAAATATATTTTATTACGTCATATATTTGAGCACATGCAGAGTTTTTAGACAGATTTAATTTTATAAAATTTGTTCTATACAATAATATATATTATGTAATAGTATAAAACTCTGTGTAGATAATAGATACAAAATATTATGATTGGTTGGTTAAGATTAAAAATTGTCTAACACAAGACGTTTTAAATTGGATGACATTATTTTGTATTGTGTATACCTATGCGGATGACTGTAATAATAATAATGTTGTTTTTATCGTATGTACTGTTTGATATAATATATGATTGTCACACGAGGGGTTTGGGTGCCGAAAAATTCTTCGGTGCAAAGGGTTTCTCGCCCTTTTTATCGATTGTCGTGCTCTTTGTCCGTTTCACATATATGTACAAAACATCAATAATTCAATAGTTTCCGATTGAACTATTTTACGACGGCGCGGCGGCAGCAGCCATTGACGTACCGACAAACGATTTGTTCGAAAAATAACATCCTCAATACGCGTGAGTAATACACTCGTGTATATAATAATAAGGATATTACATTTGATTGTATTAATTCGAAGACGATAATTATTATTATTATTTCATGTTCTACCTGACGAATGATAAGTATCAAAGTTGAATCAGAATTTACTTTGGCTTTTGCTATCGTCGTGATAGCCTATCGACAGTTTTGTAATTTTATTTAATATATTAATTATACATGTATATATATTTGTCTTTATATCTTTCATTGCTCTATTTTTAGAAATGTTTGGACAATAAATAAATATTCTAGTAAATGAAAACAGTTTTTTATAATAAAGTAAAAAGTACTTATACTAACTTATACAACAATAATTATACCTCATTATGACAAAGGAATAAAAACCAATGTGTACTTCTTGTGGAACCGAATTCTCGGTCAACTACATATTCACAACATGCTTTCAATATGCAGACAAACTCAGCAATCTTAATACACCCATCACCCTAGAAGCTAGGACCTAAACGAAACACTCGGTGCAAACACAGGCACCATTACCTTAGTATTAAAATTTTTAGTTAATAATAAATTATACAACTTAATTTAATATAAATAATTGTAACTAATGGTCTTTGATGTCAATGTTAATTAAGAACAATAAAAAAATATAAAATAATTATACTTTGATTCTAAAAATACGATAATAATATAATACTCATCAATACAAAATATATAGTTGTATATATACAACATAATTATAAAGTTATTAACGGATAATTAATAAGTAATTATTAATATACATATTTTACTAGTCCGTATATCGTAACATGGAATTTTAATATAAAAAAATTTATTTCGTCATAATACATTACAATCTAAAAATATATTGTCTTCTATATTATAGTAATAGTCAACTAAATCATAAAATTCTTGTTGGGCGTGGAATTAAGTATTTAAAGACTGAACCAACGTAGTTCAATTATTCGTCGTAATTTTAAATGTGTATATTATTGTCCATTGTTTGTGTTTTAACTTATTAGTTATTACACACTAAACTCGCTCGTTATTAAAAATATGATTTTTTTTTTTTTAAATTTTTAATTGGTTCTTATAGTTTTATTATTGTGCGTGTACCACCATCCCAGTATACGCGAATAAACACAATAGCTGCAAAAGAAATATATGCGTTTTGTACAATGGAGCCGTCGTGATAATTATTTTTTTTTTTAGCTCGTTCCGTCTATATTATAATATTATTATGATATTGTATACTGGCTAGGCGCTTACAATTGAATGAAATCGTACGAACCAAATTTATATTTATACGAGTCCCCAAAGGTCGTGATACATAATATTATTTGAACACGTAGTTTTACTATCCAATAACAGAATTATCTCCAATAAAATTATTATTTCAGTACGAATATTATAAACTAGCACGGCATTTGTTCTTGTATGTACCTACATCGTGAAACGTGGCATGTGCGCATATTGCTGTTATTATAATAATGCTCAGTCAGTAGTATTTGACGTGTGTGGCTGC